TCTTACTTCGAGAATTCAGGTCAGGATGATACAAGCCAAGTTTTTTTTTAAATAGTGGAATGATAATGTTATTATTAGGAAATTAAATAAAAAATTCATTATGGAAATAATGGAATAAATTGTTGCGTCTTGTGAATCACAAGATATAAGTAATTGAAGTTTGTGTTAGATGAAGTAAGACGAAGATATGCGACATCAACATGATAAAGATAGTCTACTTTATTCTTTATCCCATTTCATCTAACACAAGCCTAAATCTTTACTATTTTTGTATATTTTTGAATATATTAATATTCTGTATATTATTACTTATATTTATTCAATATATTAAATATTTCTTTAAAATTATAAATTTTTAATTACAATTATTCCTCGGAAAATCAAAAATTTAAACATCTTTACATTCAATATCTAAAAAAACTATTATACCTATAATCTAATGGATTATATGAATTAAATTATTATTATTAAATGTTAAAATTTTCATTACAACAACATTTCTAACTTTACAATTTCGAAAAATGATTGATCTTCAACTCCTTCATCATTCTTTCAAACTTAAAAAAAACCATAAAAACATTTTACCTGATCCTCAATATCTATCATTAAATCTTAAAATTTCCATTAAAATATTTATTGGCATTAACGTTAGAAATAATTTTCAATAATTTCATTAAATCTAAGAAAATAATTCTAAAATCATCAAGAGAATCTTATTAAAAATTACAACAACAAATAATTTAATTAAAAAACACATTGTAATGACAGAGTAACTCTTCCACAATCACATTGTCGATATGTCTAGGGCTAAATTCCAATTTCAAACTTCGTGTAACGTGGATACAGAGGGATCGATACTAGCCTACCTCCCCAATACCTTTCTTAGTCTCGTTGGTAGAATAGTAGGGGTTGTTGGAGCGATCCAAGTCTCGACTGGTTGACCCGTCTCGCCACGTCTCAACCCACTTCACCCTGATTCATTGTCCCCTACTCTCTTGGCTGGACGTCGCCACCCCTTTCGTTCCATCAACCCTGGAAACCTGAAAATTGACTAGGGAGCTCGTCCAAAGATGGCGCCACATGCATTGGTCAGCGGAAATTTTCGGTAGCTAATCAATAAAAGGCCCTAGACAGGGCGTGAATGGGTCACCCTTGCACAATTTCTAGGATTTCCATGGAATCTCGTGAATTGAGAAATTTGAAAATGGAATTTTTAAGAAATAGATATTTGAAAATTTGAAAATAAAAAATATATTATTTCGTGGAACAAGAGAAATAAAATTTCCAAATTTAAAAATGCAAATTTGAAAATAAAAAATACATTTCGTCCTTTTGGGAAGATTCGATTGTTACAATGAATCAAAATTATATTAATAATAGAAAATTATTTTTTTATTATATTTTTTTTAAGATTAATAAAATTCACCAAATATATTTATAAATATATATTCACAAAATATATTGTTTTATAAAAAAAAAAAAAAAGAAAAATAAATTTACTATTTATATATATTTATTATTTAGTTATATAATAAATATCCTATTTAATAAATATTTATTAAAACAAAATTTAAATTTCTCAAAGATTTTTTTAAAGCAATTCGAATTAAGAAATATTACGATTACGAGTGAGTATTGAATTATTTTAAATATAAATAAAAAAAAAAAAAAGTAAAACACGAATTCAATTTCCTGTCTTTCTGATCGAGGTTGTAATTTCATCGTTGCTCCATTTCATTGGAATATTAATAAGACCGGTTGGCTTAAGACAGTTATTTACGATTTCTTAAACAACTCCTGTACAAGGCCATCGCGGGATGAAGAATCTTGATCGCGAGTCACATAAAAAGAGACAAGACGCCATTATTGGTTTGGAACAGCTGCCTGCACGAAGAATTTTATTCCAAATTATGTACAATTTTATTAACTGCATTGATAAAGTTTGACGATTAACTTGGTTGTAATAACAAACATGGCAAGTGGTTCTTAAACAAACGATAAAAGAAAATAAAGAAAGAAAAAAGGGAATGGAGAAGTGTAAAAAGGAGTTGGAAAAAGAAAAAAAATTTTGAAATTTATGTATGTTGTGCAATTAATGGTAGAATTAATATATTTCGATATTGGTTAATTTATTTTCGAACAGATTTTTAAATTTTAATTACGATTTTTGTGATTTTCAATGTAAAATTTATCATTTTTATTTTTATATTTTATCGTCGATCTGATTAATTATAATTTATCAGATATAAATATCTCAATATGCGATCGCCATAAGCAAATTCACAGATATTTTGGATTTCTTTTTTCTCAAATCTCACTCCTTAAATGCTCGTAAAAATAATTATAAAAACTTATAACCCTTCATAACGCGATATAGATAATATTTTCACGATTCTTCAATTTTTATTCTCTTTTTGCAAAAAGTTTACCAAATTATTTGTTTGTTTATATAATTCGATAAATCTAAAAAAAAAGAAAAAAAAGAACGAAAAGATAATTATGATATTTTTACTTCGAAAATGATCTAAACTGATGCATTAAATCAATATCGATATTATAGAGCTGAGATATGCATATTCATTCATATGCAGATCAAAAAAAAGAGATAATCGACCAAGAAATAAAATTGTCAAAACATGAAAAGCCGGTTTAATAAGAGCAGGGATGAAGATCATTTCATTGAGCGAAAACAGTAGAAGAGTTACCAGAGTTAATTGAAATGCTGATTTTCTCTATCTTTTCTATGCATTCCACCCACCGTTACGAAAAAGTGCTTCGTCTGATAAGATGGGCTGAATAAAAATTACGATTGTCATGGTCCAAAAAGAAAAAAAAAAAGCAGTATTTTTTGACTGTTTCTGGGTCTTTGAATGTTTTATAGTATTCAATTAAATTTATTTTTATTACAAGATTACGTTGACCTTTTTAGGATTCAAGAATTTAGAAAAAAAGTTAATTTGAAATTATTAACATAAATAACATTCTACAAAATCCAAAAATTTTGAAAGAAAAATATTCCATAAAATCAAAGAATTTGGGGGAAAAAATTAAGTTAAAATTTCATTTTAGAAAAATTCTTTTCTTGAATATCGAATAAAAAAAAATTATTATTAATTTTTTGAGCTAGAGAATATTCATGTTTCTATAACGAAAAATAATTTAAAGTAAAATTAACAAAATTATAAGATAATTCGATACAAATAATAAAAGGAAAACGCTCCCAAACTTTTCGCTAATAATATATCTATCTACAAAAAAATGCAATAATTTTCATATTAAAAAAAAATATTATATTTACTAAGGTATGCATCATCAAACACTGATAACTTATTCTATCTTATCTGACCTTTTCAACATGCCGATCGTGAAAGAAAGGAACGAAAAACGAGCGATAAATTGGAAAAGAATTCCTGACAAGCCAGAGAAAGCTGTCGCGTAAAATCGGTTCACCGAGCGACGATAGACGTTTAAACGTTCTTTAGAAAACTCTCGAGAGAATCCTCTTCCCGACTGAACAGCGACTCGAAAGACGCAGATAAGAAACAATTTCCTGCTTTCGATACACGTGATCCCTTTTCTACACTTCCATTTTCATCAAATCGCTTCACCAAAATAACTCTGGTTTCGTTTTTCTTTCGTTCACATATTTTAAAGAAATCCCCTCGTCAATTAACTTCTTAATGATAACAGTTTCTTTAAGATAATATGTTCTCGTTATTATCTCTGGATCATCATTTATGATCTCACGATTATTTTTTTTGATAATGAATTCCTTTTTTTTTCTCAATTTATCTTTGTGATTCTTGACATATATTCTTTGTTGTACGATTATTGTGATGCACAATTATCTATATAATCCAGCGAAAGATCTATATAAATGCATATTAAGTATATTATAGTTAATAGTAATTCATATAAATTACTAAAATAACTACTAGAAATAATTTTTATATATTTTTTTCTCTACATTTAAATTTTACATTTAAGTATATTGAATAAGCTGAATTAAAATAAATAATTCCTTTATAAATTTCAATGCAAAAACTCGAAAATATCAAGAAAAATATCTTAATAATATATATACGTTATTTTGTTTTTCCTTATATTTTTTAATATCCTCATACCAACAAATGTTTTCTATAAATAAATAAATGAATGAATGAATAAATAAATAAATAAATAAATAAATATAATGGCAAAGGAAAGATTAAAAATAAAAAAATAATAATTCAAAGAAAAAAAAAGAACCAATGAGAGAACAGCTGAGCAGCTGTTCGCGAAAGAATGGTTGGACGGTGATAAGAATGAATTTCAAAAGAAATCGAAATATTTTTTTCTTTCTTCTTCTTTAAAAGCAATTCAATCCTTTGACCTATCTGATACGCAACTTACGCATGATAATGGTCCACCTATTTTCCATTTTGTTTACTATATATCTATATATCTTCGTCTCACCGCCTGTTTCAGAGCAAGGCTGAAACAGCATCCATCCTTGTTCCTCCCACTCTTACTTCTCATATTGCCATCTTTCTCTTTTCCTTTTGGCCGTGTATTTATTATCTTCTTCTAACTTAAAGAATAACTCCCTCCTCGTCGATCGTTTTGGCCGGGCTCACGGTTGCTGTTCAACCAGCGGAAGCCAGCTAGACGGCTCGGAAGTGAGGTTCTCCACCTTCCTACCTTGTCAAAAAACCATAGACACGACAAGGACGCATGGTCTGGGATAGCCAATCAGAGCAAGGCTGTTCTTCTGGCCGCCGATCAATGCGAAACTCCTCTGTACCGACGTGTACAGGGTGTGCTCTTTGTCGGGAGAGAGACCCAGCCCAATCTCTAGCCAGCGGAAGCGAAGCTCCTGCAATTTCGACACTGTTGCCCAATGCAACCGCCATGTCATTTTGTATTGGAGACCGAGCACATCGTAGTCTTCTTTTCTTCTTTTTTTTTTCTTTTTTTATCGAATGACACGATGTCTCCCTTTTCTTTTACTTCTTTCTTTGTCGATTTTCGAGATTGCAATACGATATATCCGCTTACTGGTGTGAGTAGAATCGAATCTTGATTATATTTTTCTCGTTTTTTTTTGTTCATTGTTGTTGACTTACGTGATAGGAACACTGATGCGATTCTTGACTCGAGGACACGTTTCACGGGGAATATATTACATGTGTTGAATTTCGTGAATTTCGTTTTTTTGAAGATGAAAGGTGAATATTTAAATAAAAGATCGAGTTTTGAAATATTTAGATTCAAATAATTATATGCCATTCGATCATCTGAAAATCCGTTTTAACACTGTTAAAAATAGAACATGTATAATTTCTCAATTGACAAAGAGGATCATTTCCATCGTAGAATAACTAGTTCTACTATTTTTAATTTAAAAATATATGATTATTAAAAGTAATGATAGAAATTATTAATTATTAAAATGATCTCTTTATAAAATCAATTTACAGATTGAGAACCACTTCACTAAATGAAACAAGAAAATTTTCTCTTTGTCTATCCCACAGAATTTCTTTTCAACAATTTATAACAGAATAAATGTAAAGAATTTGATACCTTATATAGAGAACACTGTGTACTCCCAATGAAATGTCAAAAGTAAATATTACTTTTTCAAGATAATTGTCATATTACATTTTAACTCGGGTGTCATATTCGTAAGTCGAAGAATCGTGTAGAATGACGAACGACCAGTTCATAAAACAGGAAGGACCAAAGATTACAAGGGAACTATCGCGCTGGTCCATTCGTCATATTCGAAAATTCCGCAGTCCTTTACCGTAGCCCCATCAAATTTTATTCCGGGTAATACGCAGCGGCAGCGTCGTTCGGAATACGTGACCTTTCCAAGCAACTGTGTATCCATCCAAATTGGATATCGGACGAAGTTGTTATCGGGTAAAAGCTGAGACTATGTGCTACCGAATGCGAAACGAAGAATCGAACGGATATTCAATTTGCTTTCTAAACAAATGTATCCATAACATTGAAAGTTGTCGCAGTGCAACTGTTTTTTGCTTTCAGTTTAATTAAACGAAGAGTTTCGAAATTGATCATGTTAGTTATTACCTTGGACCTTGGCAAACATACGTAGTATTCGTTCGTTGTTTGAATCATTCCCATCAGTTGATAGAATCTAACTTGAATCCAATGAAACAAATAATTTCACACAATACAAAATAAATTTCTCTAAATAGTTTGGATTGAGTTTTCGCTAGCCGTCGTTTCTAATAAAATGAAAATAGAATTTTATGATTCTACAAAATACATACTCGTATTCGTGGCTGATGCTAAACTGTGAGCTTATAACGAATAAATATTGCAATTAGTATATCTCTCTTTTTCTAATTCGTCCACGTTCGGCTAAACTCGTTCGAATTCGTGTTGTATAGTCTACTCTTCTATTTAAACGTAAGTGTTACTAGTAATAATTGCACATATAGTTCTTCTTGCATATAGTTCTTCATCTAGTAAAATTTTTTTTTTTTGTTTCCTTTAAATAAATGATTTATTTAATTCGTGTCACAAAATATATGTTTTTAATTAATAGCGAATTCAATATCAACGAAAATCATGAAATTTTTTATGTACTTTTCTTCTCTACGTATGATTAGATTATCTAGAAAAATTTTTTATGCTTCGTTCGCCATGTTTCGAACCTTGGTCGACTGGTCGGTCGGTCGCTCGCTCGTTCGACGATTATTTCTATACCGTAAAGCAATTTCTGAAAAGCTATTTCCCGAGAAGTATTTTCAGTGTGATGGTTCGTATAGATACGCGATTCTTTCTACTTTGTCTCAACTGATCTACATAGAAAGCCGAATCGTTTTACCAATCCTCTCGTTCGTTTGATGCGCGCGTCTTCGCTTGCCCCATCACTCGTCTTCCAACTTCTTGACCTATCTGTTCCACAAAAATAGCCCGCTTCCTTCCTCTCGATTGTTCCTTGATAGAAATTGTTCTGAAAGTGGTCGAACACCTTCCTGCCACGGTTGATAACCAATTTTGGTTATGAAATAATGGTTGATAACCATTAATTCAAACAGTTTACGAAGATTCTCATTTTCTTTTTCTTTTTTGTTTTCTTATTACATAATTTTTTATTTTTTTCTTAGGAAATTTATTTGCATTTGCAATTTTTGAAATTGAATCATTATTTTGAATTTTTATATTTTATTTTTATTATTTTTAACGTAAATATTTTTCTTCAATGAAAAATAATTGAAAATTGAGGTTATATCAATAAGAGAAAAGTTTTCAAAGATACTGAAAAGAAATCATGGAAATAAATAGTGAATTTCGAGAAAAGAGGATAAAGAAAAGAGATTTTTAGTATTATTTAATCTAATATTATTTTGATTTTTGTCTAATATTTATGCAATTATTGATTTATTGTTTTCTTTTTATTCAAAATTTGATAAACTCTATCAGAATAATATTTTGTTTTTTCTTATGAGAATTTGACGCAGAATATAATCGTAAATATCTACTTTGATTAATATTGATTTGAAAACTTACCCATTGGATGCTGGACCGCCAAATTTTCGCTTTTGATAATGTTGATACACTCATCTGAAACAAAAAAATAAAATATTAATTCTAATAGTTAAATTTTTAAATCTTATTAAAACGAAAACATTTAACTTATATATTAAAAAAAATTTTTTTAAATATAATTAATATAAACTGCAATATAATTAAACTATATTTGAATATTTGAAAATTTAACAAAAAAAAAATAATATCAAGTTCTTATCACGTAAGATTTAAATAAAATATATATTTCCCAAAAATTGTGTCAAATAATGATTGTGATGAAACAAATTTTTGCAATATATCTGTAACAGCAAGGCGTGCATTTTTTCTATAAGATTTGATTGTATTTGACTACTTCGGTTCTTCCTCATTAGATATCTCCATTAAAATATATTTATGATAAAAATGTATTTATGATTGCGATCAATGAGCTTGTCATTATTCGTACGACAATCTGTGACGAAATCGATCATTGTATATGATTTTTTTTATGTAACAAATACAAATGGAAATATGTGACAAGTATGTGACAATAAAATATAAATAATATACTTTTCAAAAATTGAAAAAATACCAAGAATTAATAAAATCTTTGTTTGATTTCCATTTTAACATTTAATTTATATAAAATATGTATCTTTATAAAAATTTACAGATTATTATATATTATTATATATAATATTATATATATTCATTATTATTAAGTAAATTTATTATTAAATATATAAAAATTTTCATAATTTAAATATATCTGTTTTTTCCATCAAATGATTGACATAACCTTTCAGGGGATTAAAATCTAATTCAATAATTAGATTTTATTAATTAAGAATATATAATCTTTATTTATGAACTTACAATGTTCGTTATTCCAACAGCTCATCTTCAAACAATAAATAATACTAATTATCGATTGACACAAACGAAAAATGTGTATTTAATACGCGGGAAAAATCGACATAATAAAATAAACTAACCAGATCAAGTATTAAACATCGATCGATGTTCACTGACTCGATACATCACGATATCGCATACACGAAGCGCGATATGCGCACGCGTACATCAGCTTGTTCATTACTCTGATTCAACATGGCGACTTTGCCACTTTTTCTATCCCTACTCTGACCATCTGCCTGTCAATTGTTACTAAATAGTGTTACACCTACTCAATTCTATTGAGTATATATACCATTATATACACCATGAATATTTAATACACGTGCCGACTGTGAACAAGGGTGATGTGCCTTTTTTCGTTAACCTTGATATTCTGATTCGTTGGCCAACAAGGTTTCTGGACGACAATAATAATAGAGAAAAACTTTCTGTGAAATAATTGTATATAATATAATAAAAATAAAAGAATATTTCATTTTTTGCGGAAAGGAGCTAACGGGTAAGAAATTTCGAATGATATAAAATTGCATGAGATTTAAACTTATTTAATATTTCAATGACGTTTGTATATGTAAAAATAAGATGTAATATCGGAAACTATAATTCATCTTTTATTTTTTTTACGACTGTATTATAATTAGCGATTCCTAATTACAAAATAATTGAGATAGTATAAATATAGTAGTTGTTATTCTATAGAAATGAAAGAAGATATTATATCTATTATATCTATCTTATTTTTTTGATATTATAATCTACATAGTTTAATTTAAAAGCATTGCATGTTCTTCTAACAAGTAATTCGGAATGTATTTTTAAATTGTATTTATTTTTTATAAACTCACAAGTATATTTAGCTGTAAAAATATGAAATTCGATATTTATTTTATCTTTGCTGATGCGAACGTCGAAAATGACAGTTAGCCAAAGACGAAGAAAGATTGAGAGTTTGAGTATTTAAAGAAATTTATGACGTATTCTTAGTATGTGAAATTACTCGCCTCACTGGGTTCACTGGAATAACCTCTGATAATATATTCACTGGAGAAAAGCTCGAGCATATAATGAATAATATTATCTATCTGTTATCGTACATTTTACTAGGCACTGCAACTTGGAAACTGGGCGGAATAATCCCCATAAGCCGAAAGTTTGTGGTAGAAAACGCAAAACGCAAGTCTTTAGCGACGAACTATGCAATTTAACATTCATAACTTGCATAAAATATGTATTAAGCGACAGTCGAGGTATAGTTTGGTTCATGATAAAAAGAAATACGCAAGTCTATGCCAGAAAACGAAACATTAAGAAAACTGAGAAACGAGCAATAAGAAGACAGCGTCAGCTCATTAAACCGACTGTAGAAAAAGACCACAAGTCGATCATTTTTCGTGCAATTCGTATCCTCATGTAAAATAAAACAAATAATGCTATTATAAGTTCATTTAAAACGCAAATTAATTTTTTTTTTTTTACTTATCGAGTTGTAAAAGATAGATAAGGGTAGTCAGTTTAAGAGAATAAACTTGTAAAAGGAACGATAATATGTTATGTATTAAGAGGTTAGGTTAATCTCACGTCATTAAACTTCGAACGCGACTAATGAAACAATCAAAAACAGCGATTCTTCGATCGATTATTTTCGAATCAAGTTTGACTTGAAATATAAATTTAATAAAATTTAAAAATATTTTTAACTATATTATTAATAACTAATTATCACAATAACTAATATCACAATAAATATCATAAATGAATTTTAGTGTATAATAGCAATACTTTTTAATCATTTATGTAATTTTAATATATTCGGTTATGGAATATACTTATGATTTATATATATATAAATATTTTTTCTTTTAGGAGGAAAATAAAGATAATGTAAAAATATTCAAGAGATCAGAGCAATCAGTCGATAATGACATCCAGCTGTTTCATTTCACCGCAATTATGAAATATAGATGTTTCGCTTGAATTCGTTCGAAAAAGGATTAATTGAAGAGCACCATTCTTCAAGTGGTTCGCAAAGTAACTCGATATCGGGCCGAATTTATTTTCATTCGGCTATTTCGTTTCGATTCGTTCGATATATTCCCGAAGAAGGCTAGCCACCAATGGCACGAGAGTAGTATATCGCTTCGATATAAAGCTCGACCATTCGATGTATTTAACCGCGCAGACGTACTTGAACATAGTAACATATATATCGGCAATTCTTTTACCTCCTCTCGCCGTTTCGCTTTATGTATCCCGCGAAAGTGCACAAGCCGCTTTACTACTCGAAAAGAAGTTCCTGCCAGGGGAAGCAAGCAACGATAGAGCAGCATGGTGGAATCAGCCCTGTGTAACCGCCACGGGCTCAATATCTAAACAGGAAATTTCCGTGCACGCCAGAAAACATAGCTAGAAATGTACGCGAATCCGGCGAATGTAAAATACATAGTAAATGTACCGCAAAGATGGACTGAGGAAACTGCATATTTAAATGCGGATAAAAAGATCCTAATTCTCAGAAGAAGGGATGTCTTCGCTCAGATAATATAAATAATCCTTCCGTGAAATTTGATGTAATACAAGTGTTTTATCATTCTGAGTGCATTTTATTAAATTATGTAATCTTCTTTCGCGTCTTTTAATTTTTGAAGCAAATATAGAAAAATAAATTTTCTATAACTTTTAAGCTATTGTATAAATTGTACATTCTAAAGATCAAATAATTTCACTTAATTTTCTGACATTATTTAATTCTAATCTAACTTTTTCTCAAATTCTTGAACTTTTCATGTGATATTTAAATAATTCCAAACTATTAGTTTATAGTGTATTGTAAATTTTTAATATAGAATGTCCCAAAAATGTAGGAAATTGGAGATTCCTGAGATAATTTCAAGCAACATTTTCATTTGGAAAATCTTTTGAAACAGCTTTGTTAACGTGATATTAAAATTAATATATTTATTACAAAAAATACTAGTTAATCACGAGTTCTAAATCACTCAAGCCATGATGGTAGTGATGAAATATGTGCCGTCGGCCGAACACGAATAAGTCCAAGCAATAGTTGTCGAAAAAAGTCTGTTGAATAATAAATATTTTGTTATAAAAAAAAATTATATCGAATTACATCTTATTTAAAAATTAAATGAAAAAATTCAAGAATGAATAAACTAATGAATTATTATTCGTATAAAATTCTTTTTCTTTATTATCCTCTTCTCCTTTATTTCACTCTTTCATTCTTCTTCTCTTCCTTTATCAATTCCTCTTTACTCGCTCGTTTATCAATTTCACTTCATACCCTTATTTATCAATTCTCTTTCACTCCCTTTTTTATTACGCTTCTCTTTCTTTCTCTTCCAAATATGTAATAATTTATTAGAAAAGTTTTACATTCATCTTTTTATATCACAATTTGCTATTACTCGTTTAATTTATTTTATAGAAATTATAATTAATTAGTTTATTTATTTTTTCTGAATAATTTTCTTTTTTATAAAAAGAAATTTAAAAGAATATTTATTATATTCAATAGATTTTTTCGACACGTATTGTTTGTCGTGTTCGACTAACAATATAATTATCGTCATAGTCTTCGTGATTCACCAGTGATATTTGCACAAAGAAATCATTTTACTTCAATTAATATATCCTAACATTTTTGGGACACTCTGTATACAAAGTGAACTGGAGTTTCAACCCTCTGGGATTTTAATAATATGAAAACAAGATCCTCCGACATCCGCGCGAAACCTGGCGTTAAATTCATCCGTAATATAGCGTCCACGATGAAACAAGGATGAACTTCGACTTATTAAAAATATTCTCTCATATCCCTACTGCCGGTTAATTCTAACTTTCATAGTTGCTTCAAAAAACATTTTCTCATCGCTGACAGAATCACGTAACCCGCCCGAGCCACCTTCATAAAAAGTGTACACCTTTTGCCCGTAGGTGTTTCGAGTTTCTGGTACATACGATATCGTGGAAATTGGTTGATAGATGCAACACTTCCTCGCGCTCGCTTTACGAGACACGCATTC